CATATTTGTCCGTGAATTCACAAGATCGTCCATCAATTATTTTGGTAGTGTTTAATTTTTAAAATTATTTGTAATTGATGAACATAAGCTGGGCTCCAATGTATTCCAGAAAAAAAATTATTTGATTAAAGGCTATTTGTGTTGAGCTAAGTTTAATTAATTGAAAAAGAAAAACAAAAAGTAAACTAAATTAATTTAATATTTTTAATACTTTCGTAATAAGCAGGGGCGGATCCAAGATTTCAAAGAGGGGGTTCAGAAAGTTCCCAAAAAGGAAAGGGGGGTCCTGGAAAATTTTGATTCCTAGATGGCCGAAAATGAGCTTTCCCGACTTCTGAGGTGTCTTTTAATGACCTTTTCAGTTCTTCAAGGTTTTCTCTCTCTTGAAAAAGAAAGACATGCAATATGTGATTATATTCCAACAATATTGAGTAGTTGGATACGTAGACTTTCCTCCATGGATCTTGAAGGCTAGTTGGGCTCAGCCTAGTTTGTCTGATCTGCCAACCTATGGCTAGGTAGGTTAGCATGCCTTTTGTAAGCCAGGACCCATTAGTATTTTGTTACGTTTCTTTACAGTGATAAGATAATATTAGGATTTTTCATTTTTTTTAAATGTGAATCAGTTTGGTTTGATATGACTTATGTCAACCCAAAAAAATACATAGGAAAAAAAATCAAGAATTATCAAACGAGGGCAAAATTACTATGTATGAACGACGCTCCCTAATAAATAAAAACATTTTTCTGGTTTTAGCAATAAAATACAGAATTATAGTAAATACGATTATTTAAAAAACAACTATATTTGATAACATATTTGATCATATTTAAGAGCATTTCAACACTATAATTTAATTTTTTTTAAATTTCTTTCAGCTATAATAAACTTACTTAAACATACTGTTTTCTGTTGCAATGTAGCAAACATGGATTCCAAAAATATATATATAGAATAATTGCGGTAAATCTTTCTATTTTGCTATAGACTAGATGAAAAGTTTGACTGCATAATGTAGCCAATCTAGTTTGAAATAGTTGGTTCTAAGTACAGTTGTGTGTAAGAATGTAAAAAGACATCATTTTCCAAACCTAGTCCAAACATGGAGCTATAAAATAGCTCCATGGTCCAAACTAGAACAAATGTTCATTTCAGGAATAGTAGAAGCATATTAGTTAACATTTTCGACCTTTGGTGAAGATTTGACCTCAGTAATTGAGTGACCAATTAGTGTTTACCTTGTAGTAAGTGGCTCAAGGATCCCTGCCTAGTGTAAAACAAAGTTTTTAATTGGCTGGACTTGACTCTAAAAACACAGACATGTCATTACCTTGATGACTGTCATTTCAGTCTCATATTATTTGCGGAATATTCATATTTAATAAATAGGAGGAGTTTATTGGCATAATTGGATTTTATTCCAAGTTTCTTATCAAATACAATATAATGTTTAGTATGTTTAAATTGAATTATTTATAATCTAAATAACAAACTAACCATATGTTATTTATTAAATTTTTTTCTTACATTTCTTATGTTATATATTCTATTTGTTTTTAAATTTAATATGATATATTAATAACATTATATACAGGTAATATGAAAAATTATAATAATTGATATTCAAAAGCCTACCAGTACTTGTATATTTTTTTCTTTGTTGATAAAAAAAAAGCCTTTCGAAGAGATTTTTAGATGTTTCACGATCAAATTAATTAAAATTCAGAACAATAACTCTAATAATATATTAATAATAACAAGTGATAATAATTTTCTAAAGTCAGTTTCGGCAGATAAAAATTGTTTGTGTATTTTTTCATTTCTAAATACTCTATTGTAATTTTTTTTTAGCACTCTTACTTAGAAAATTTGAAAAAAACTGAACAGTAAGAAATTGAAGTGGAACATATTTTTTATACCACTAGTATGATTATGGAGATAAAAATAAACATCATGCGATGTTTTTAGTAAAATTTATTTTAAAACTATTTTATGACGTCCGTGTTCCATTCATGAAGAAGAAGACAATAATTATAGTTCCGCAGAAACTTTACTACTACTAACCTATGTACAGCAGTAACTCAGAATCATTCTGTGCAGCCTTGTATTTTTTAGGGACTTTTCCTTAAGTCATGTATTATGGTATTATGCAGTGGAGTCAGTCACTCTATGACACTGCCTACTCATTAGCCAGTCAGCCACACAGAAGCCTTTTGTGATAGACTTCCCCTGACTGATTTGCATAATATATTCCAAGGTCGTCAGTCATATGAGGTCATACATGTCACCCAATGCTAGCTTATAAAACAGCAGATGATCTGGCTTGAGTACAAAAGTAGCAAGGACACTCGGTGGTGGATATTCAGAGAGAGAGGAGTAAAGTAATAGCGCTCTCGCTCATAGGTATCGTCAGTAGACTTGTGAACATAGATGCATGACAGTTAATCGTAATAGAAGTCGTTGGCCTTTTAACTGAATCAATATTATAGTGAGGGAGCTCTAAGCATTGCTGGATTTTGTCTCCTGAAAGTGGGGAGAAGATAGAGGAACCTGAAAGGCATCTTTTAGTTTGGAGTTTTTTTGGTGGAATTTGGCACTTTTTACTTTTGGAAACACAAGTTTTCATCAAATTCTGAGTTGGTATCGAGCATCAAGCGAAGAACTACGTGGAAATTCTTACCGGTATCTTGGTCAAATTGAAAATTGCATAAACTGTTAAAATGTCTGCAGCAACGACGGAAAAAGGGCCTATTCATATGTCGGTTGTACAATTTCATAGATCATCTAAGCTAGAAAAACAGCTAAGGATGCAAACTACAGAAATATACAAACTGCACGGGACTTGTCAGTGTCCCAAAATTGACTCAAAAAGTACAATTCTATACCGACTACTCACGGACACTTATTTCAACTCGCAGTCATGTTGTCGGAACGGCTGTGGGTTCTGCTCTTCGGCAGCAGAGAGTAAATTAAAACTTTTACTAGAAGAGTCAAAAAAACATCTTGTGCAATAGCCTATGATCTTTTGTTTCAAGCAATCGTTGTCAAGTAGGTACAGTTACATTTTGTCTGTTGACCCTTTTCTTTTTACTGTTGAACATTCATTTCTTTAGATAGCATTGACAACAATCGGCAAGGTATCAACCAATTACTGTATATAATATAAAGTACGGTTCTTGATTGCTAATCGCCTTGTAATGTGCTGCATAAAAATCTATCATATTGATATTATTTTTAAATGATTTTATTTTAAATACTGTATTAGATATTTTACTTTTTTTTTTAATTTTTTGATATTGCAAATTTAAATGTACAAGTAGTGGTGTTGTGGCTGAAGGTGCAGATAAATAATTTAAAGTCTAAAGGTTTCGAAATATAGATGCGATTGAATTTCAATTCAAATCCTTTTTTTTTTTCAGTGAAATACTTTTTTACTAAAAATTTGTTTTAATGCTCATCAATTTTTATTTATGAATTCAGAATTGTAATTAGATTGGTAATAAATACTGGTATTAATACTATAAAAAAAAAATATGCTGTTTATCACAACATGTTATTTTAATATTCAAAGAGATTTGTGTATGACGTAAATGAACAGTTTTTGTAATGTGATCATTGGCTTATTTATAGACTTCTACCTATATATCAATAGTGTTATCCTTTTCTATTATGTAAACCAATGAATACAGTACCTGTCTCTAACTATATAAGCTATTAAGAACTTGGCCCAAAATAGATGTTAGAATTATCAGCACACAATAGTAAATGCTGTGACAATAATTTTTGAACAATGGTTCAGTTTTGTTCCTAATTCCGGTTGAGAATTGCCTCAGACAAAGCAGCTAGCCTTCGTTGTGGAAGAATAGCAAGGGTGAATGGCCTCCTTCCAGCAGGTTCATAGCCCTATTGGCGGTAGCTGTACGCTCCAGATTCGCATCCTACAAAGCTCTTGTCACACCTCATTGGCCAAGTTATTGTGCATCAGTTGGCACGTATTTAAATTAACTTGTGCTGTCGTCAATTCATCTGTCACAATTTTCATCAGTAATTTTTCTCCGGCATTAAATACATGCACTTTTTTTTTTTAAATTTTAACTACAATTCTAAATATAAAAATATAATTTAACGCTGCCTTTTGAAAGACTTGCACATTGCGAATGAAACGTCGTTTGGTTTCAATGTCTGTGATGCGTTAATAAATTGTGTGGCCTTCATCATAAGAAATGTTGATCGATCTGTGCTGTATGTATAACGCCTGTTAATGACGGGGTCCTTGAACCAAACTCAGTGGCAACAAGAATTAGTTTTCGCCTTTATGATTCTGTCAGTGTGCTCTAGCAATTTAATGTTGTTTTTAAGCGACCTTGGTTGGATTGCAAACAGCCTTCACAAGCTTTGTTAAAAAAAAAAAAAAAAAAAACTAGCGATAAAGAATCTGTATGCTACATTAAATATATATTCTGGTTGGCGATTGGATGAATCATACAGGCTTTCCTTTTGTTGACCAATAGTGCTTGTCCTTCAATCGGGTGATTAATTCCATGTACTGTAATCCAAATCCATATTGATTAACATTGATTAATATTTGATAACCATTCATTAGTTAATCATTTCATTCATTTAAAAATCAGGTGCAAAAAACTTGTTATGTTATGATGAATGCATTGTTAAAATACAGTACTTCAGATGTTTGTAAAGATAACTTTAACAATAATTAGTCCACTCATATTTCCTCGAAATATAATTCAAATCTATTGAAAAAAAAAATCTGCTGTTAAATTTTAAACAGCTAGACAGATAACCTGTTGACTACTTGTTTTGTAATGCTCTTCACATTTCATGATACTGTATGTTGGGAGGGGAATAATGGTTAATAATGTTATTTGACAGTGTTTGGTGACGATGGTATAATATTTATTTTGTGCTAATTAAATCATCATTTTTGAAAACTATTAAAATGGTTGGTATAAATGTTAAATGATCAATGTTTTTGTTTTTGCAGATGTACCAGGCCTGGAGAATCCAATGTTAGTGGAGAGATTGCAGAGCAGCGTTCAACTACACTTGAATGAGTATGTGGCTGCAAAACATCCGTATGATCAACTCCGCTTTGCTCGTATCTTACTCAGTCTGCCACCACTACGCAACATCAAAGCCCAAGTGGTCACGCAGCTATTCTTTCGTGACATCATAGGCAATGTCGCAATGGAGGACTTGTTAACTCAGATGCTACAAGGGTAGATGATGGTCATGATATCTCCACTCTTTACTGGTGATCTTAGAAAAGCATAATATCTGCTCAGTTACTGTTCATGACTTCCGGGAGTGGATGCATAGACTTCGTACCAACCAATCCTTTGATTTACCTCTTTAGATTGGTTGATCTGAAGACTGATGTTCTCTGAGCCGTGGGTTTGCGAACCAGCATTTGTCTGCTAATACAACTCGTATCTAGATTGCTAGATCTTGTTGAGCAATACCATGGCCCAGAGTTTGCCAAGATAGTAGGGTTAATGGTGTTTTTGTTCTTGGCCTGGTGTTTTAAATGGAAAGAGAAAAAAAAAACTTTCCAGCTTGTTTGCATTAATATTTATAATTGTACAAAGAAAGAATATCAATCAAGTTACCTTTAATATCTCTCCAGTCTTGATGGAAGTTCCTAAATAAAATCTTCTAGAGATGAAAAAAATAGGAGAGAAAATTTAGATGGAGAGGGGCAAAAGCGAGTTTTAAAGATATCGTCTCATTCTTGTTCGTGTATATAGCTATAACAAGAAGTGTTCGAGTTGTACAAAGATAAAATGGATATTTAAATTGTTTGCCTCCATTCTTCCCTTCTGTGGTGGAAATAATTTTGTTTAGATAAATTAAACTACAAAGTTTTAAGCCAAGCACCTTTGTTAAAGTTTGTTGTCAAATCTATGTATTGTTAAATCCAGGAGAATATGTTTTTGTTATTATGGGTACATTTTTTATCCACAAATTTCCAATGGTTCTCTGTTAATAATAGTTTATTGTGAAATTGAGACTAGGAGAATATGCATGATTTAAATGTCTAAACAGTCTTGAAACATAAACTACAACACCAAATTATTGTAAATTGGTGCAGTATATTAATAGACATTAGAAATCTTCTCTACAGAATGTTTATGTTTTTATTAAGATTTTTGTTGAGTTTTATTCAATTGATAATTATGCTTATTCCCATCCAAACCCTTTCCTTAAGTGGAATATACACCGCCAGCACTGAAATACAACCAACTGAAATAATATTATGGGGATATGTGACGTTTTTGTTGATTGTCAACTGAATCAAAACGTTTTATATTTTTAAAGTTTAAAATTCATTTTGAAGAATAGAAATTTAATGCCATGCAACATTTTAAAGCAATATTTAATTTGAAAATCTAAATAAAATAATATTTTACCACAAATCCTGAAACTACTATAATTTTTACTAAATTTCCAAATTCATATGTAATGTTTCTGTTTACCAGATGATATAACAGAAAAAACAAAGATTTTAACTTATACTTAATTTCCTTTATATATTATGTTCACACTATGTTGGCATTAACAAATTTCAAAATTGGTACATATGTTGTTTTTGTTAGACTTGAAATCTATAGTAAACATTTGTTTCAAATGATTTAAGAAGAAATAAAAATTATATTAAAATCTCCAAAAACAATTTTTGTTTGCTTTAGCAACCTTGGAATATAAACATTTTGTTTACTTTTAAATTAGGTCAAACTAACCCCTGTAGTTGTTTTTTCTGGATGCCAATATTGTCAATGCCGAAGAGTTCTAAAATTAGTAAAAATCAATGGCAATTAATCCAACTAGGATAATAATTTTGTTTGTCTGTTTGGCGAGTATATCTGTATGGCAAATGACGGTAAAATTAATTTATGTATTTCAAACAGACATTACATCCGCCCCCATCATTCCACCACAATTAAGACTAATAACATTAATTTACTTTAAAATATTGATCTGAAATGGGTGCTGTGGAGATATTGTAAACAGAAGATGGAGAAAATATTTATTGAAGTCACAGAAATCCTTTCCTTAAAAAAAAGGCAATTTCTGAACAACAAACCAGTAAATTTGAAATATTTTAATATCTAGTCATGTTTCTGACAGTTTATTCTGTTCAAAACATTACTTAAATTTTGTAAACTTTTTAAAAGGGTTTTTTTTTTCCCAGACTAGGGCTAAGAATGTTTCCTGCTAAAATATACAATAATAATCAGAAAGAAAAATTGAAAATAGTTGCGTGTACCTCTGTTGAAGCCTTTTAATTTCCCCCCAACTCGTATGTTTTAATTGATGAATCTTATGGAAAGCTTGTCTATATATAAGGTATAAAGCCCTTCTTATTTTATTAAGACTTATTATTCGTCGTGACAGCTGGTTCATTTTTGTTGTGTGTGTGTGTTCTATTTAAATTAAAGCGAACTAGCTTTGGCGTGTCATTTTCTTTCTGTGCAGTTAATTTAAACCGTAGGTCCGTGTGTTGTTTAATTGTTGTGTTATACTTTGAGGAAACTAGATCGACTGTACACTGTACAAAGAAAGTTGTATAAAGTAATGGCTGGCCCAGATTATGGTTTGGGTGTTTTACTCTGTGCATTATATAATATAGAAACAATTTGAGAATGTGATTGATAAAGTAATGAGCGAGAGAAAAGAATTACATTATTGAAGTTGTATAGAACATCTTTTATTTGAGAAAAAAATAAAAATAAATCATAAACAAAAGTACTTGTGTTGTAGGAAGTTTATTTTTTAGCGAATTTTATCAAATGTTGGTTGAGTATTCTAAGTGGTGTTGATGGGAGTGTAATGATGATGATTTACATAATTATGTTGCTCAGATTTTTCACATTTTTTATACTGATGAATCATCAAGTTCAACCTATGCTATTTTTACAGTATTTTATTCACTTTTTTCACACAAACACACAAAACAGAACATTGTATTTTGATGGACATTTATGTGTAAATGAGTTTCTAATGAGGTGCCAAGTGAGATGCCCTACTACGCTACCACATACAATATTTGTCTTAACGCGCTTACACTAGCTTACAGCACAATGTGCCACTATATTTTCATCTTCCATCTTTAAACTTCACAAGTTTGCAAGGCGTCCTAGAATTAGGACGACAGGAAAAATGAGGTGAACACGTTCTCGATTTTGGTAGTGGACGAGGGAGACGACGTAACGCATGCGCAGTGCCTTAAAATGACCTCATCACGTAGCAGTCCACTATGTCGACGTGCAAATCTAAAAGTCCCTAATACAAGCATTAAAACATGTTTATACCAAAGAGTATAAAACTGCAAGAGGTCCGACTTATTTTGTATACAGGCAAGGGAAGATTAAAAAGTACTCCCACGAAGGGGCGTGTCCTTCATAAGAACGTAAAAGGCGTTCGTATCGAACGCGTGCTGCGTTTCGAATTCCAGCATACATTCTATAGACGCACAGCACGCGTTCAATATGAACGCACTTTACGTTCTTTTAAAGGCCACGCCCCTTTTGGGTACTGTAGTACTTTTTGAAATATGATTGCGTTCCAAAGAATCCCCGGCAGTCGGACCTCTTACAGTTTTATGCTCTTTCTTTATACCAACCCTATTATATGTAGGCCTGCGCTACTGCTCATAATCCCAACACACTTATAGCCAGCATCGTACGCGCTAATAATGGCAACACTAGCATGATTCGCTAAATGTCGACAACACTAGCGACACACGCGCTAATAATAACACTTTATAGCCTCACATGCGCTAATAACGACAACACTAGTATAAGACTCGCTAATAATTGCAACATTAGTATAGACTCGCTGAATATCGGCAACACTAGCGTCACGCGCACTTACATTGGATACACTAGCGTCACACCCACTAATAACGGCAACGCATAACACGCACTCACTAGCCTCACATGTTCTGATAATGGCAACATCGCATGTGGCGTGTACAACCGATACTTCACGTGGGGTTAATAATAGCAACACGTTACCGTACATGTGCTTTCATAAACACGCGTTCGTTTTCAATCATTTATGGGCAACAGTCACACACGTGTACACACAGCGGTGGCTCCAGAATTTTGCCGACAGGATGTCCCAGGGGTAAGGAGGGTCCAAACCAAGGGCCGACTAATGCCTCGGTCCTGGTCCCGGAATAAATAATGGCTTATTATGGCCCATCTTGTGCTTTTTAGACCACAGCATTAGGATTTGCAATCAAAATATCGTTATTTGTATAGGAAAATTAGTATTTTTTTATTTTTAATCCGACGACCTCTTCGTGGTGCCGGACGAGGGGGATGGCGGTTCCCGCTGGCGCATGAACGACGCTTTCTATTCGCGCAAACAAATTCGCCTAGTGGAAAGCCGGCTTTAAGCCGGCCACTAGACGAATTTATTCGAGCGAATCAAATCGTCGGTTCGCTTCCTTAGCTCTGATTGGTTGCGCATTTTTTCGCTTCGCAAAAACTCCTATAGAAATGTGAATGCGCATGCTCATAAACCGACGCTTACGATTCGCGCGAATAAATTTGCCTAGTGGTAAAACAGGCCTCATTGCGAAAACGTTAGTTCCGTCGAAAATTTACATGCGTATGATGGTGACTTGCCACCACCTACTATAGGCCTAGATGAGTTTATATTGCATTAGTACTTATCCAATTTTAGATGGTTCACACTGATAATCAAAGGTGTAGGCCTATGTTTCTTACGTTTGCGTCAAAACTCGATACCGTATAGTGTGAACAATGTTAGGTGTGAATTTATGTATACCTTATTGCTCGAACGTATTTTTTTTTTTTTTTAAAGATCGTCAGAAGAGGGCGGAAAAAAAAAGACAAAATTTTGTTGTCTTATTTAGCAAAGAGTTTTGCCAAAAACATCCAGACAGGAGAAAATAACAAATAAATGTTTATTGTTAAATGTAAACAGTGTGGTAATGGGATTGTTAAATGCTTTAAAGTTAGGAAGAAATATATTTTATTTTTAGGAGATTTCAAGGCAGCAACGGGCGTAATGAATATAAAGAAAAACATTTTTTTTTTTAAATAAAGACAAAATTTTGTTTTCTTATTTAGCAAAAAGTTTTGCCCAAAACATCCAGACAGGAGAAAATTAAAAAAAATAAATGTTTATTGTTAAATGTAAACAGTGTAGTAATGGGATTGTTAAATGCTTTAAAGTTAGGAAGAAATATATCTTATTTTTTGGAGATTTCAAGGCAGCAAGGGCGTAATCAAAATAAAGAAAAACATTTTTTTCCCCATGAAATTTAATTTTTTTGCTAATTGGCTAAAAAAACAGCATTTTATTTTCATACGAAATCATCAATATTGGCGGGCGGCGGGTTCGCTAAACAAGGTATAAAAAAAGTCTCGTAAGGAAATGTTGTTCACTGCCACTGTGTGCTGTTAACGCAACCGGTGGATCGGCTATAACGGAACTCTCAAGCCTATTACTAAAGATCGTCAGAAGAGGGCGGAAAAAAAAAGACAAAATTTTGTTGTCTTATTTAGCAAAGAGTTTTGCCAAAAACATCCAGACAGGAGAAAATAACAAATAAATGTTTATTGTTAAATGTAAACAGTGTGGTAATGGGATTGTTAAATGCTTTAAAGTTAGGAAGAAATATATTTTTGTTTTTAGGAGATTTCAAGGCAGCAACGGGCGTAATGAATATAAAGAAAAACATTTTTTTTTTTTTTAAATAAAGACAAAATTTTGTTTTCTTATTTAGCAAAAAGTTTTGCCCAAAACATCCAGACAGGAGAAAATTAAAAAAAATAAATGTTTATTGTTAAATGTAAACAGTGTAGTAATGGGATTGTTAAATGCTTTAAAGTTAGGAAGAAATATATCTTATTTTTTGGAGATTTCAAGGCAGCAACGGGCGTAATCAAAATAAAGAAAAACATTTTTTTTCCATGAAATTTAAATTTTTTGCTAATTGGCCAAAAAACAGCATTTTATTTTCATACGAAATCATCAATATTGGCGGGCGGCGGGTTCGCTAAACAAGGTATAAAAAAAGTCTCGTAAGGAAATGTTGTTCACTGCCACTGTGTGCTGTTAACGCAACCGGTGGATCGGCTATAACGGAACTCTCAAGCCTATTACCTGGATGGTATGTTCATCTCTTTTTTTCTTTTTTGTTTTTGTTTGTTTGTTTCTTTGTTTTCTGTTTTGTGTTTTGTTTGTTTGTGTTGTCTGAGGTATTTAATGTGGAATTAAAAGATGACATCAACCAATACCCTAAGTGCTGTGAATAGTAGTCTAAGGTTCGACAGCTTATTTTCTTCAAATATTGAAAGAATTTTTAAGTTTGTTGAGATTGTGTGCGAAGTTGAGTTTGAATTAATAAACGATTTTGTGCTAGGGACAACATGTCACAGTGTTAAGCGGCAATTTGACCGGATTAATATTGTTAACTGGTAGGCACATACGCCAAGAATTTTCAATAGCGAACTGTGATTATAAACGACATTCCCTTTAATAACAAATGTACAAATTCACGAAATGACAAGAAGCGAACTGGTCAGTAGAGGCCTAAGCTTCCGAGGTTATCCCCCACTTTTGCGATGTTTACAAAACAAAATCGCAAAAGTGGAGGTTACCCTCACTTTTGCGATTTTTTTTTTAAACAGAGCTCAACGGCTAAATGTTCCATCCGAACTGGTCCCTTGGTTGTTGAGGTACCACATAACGTACGTAAAGACTTGCGTTTGTGGAACAGGCGCGTATTCGTGGACCTCTTCTGATTGGCCAGTTCTAAAATTTGATTGGCACGTCGGAAAGGTCCATTAAAGTCAAACCCACAAGAACGTAGGCCTATTAGGCGCCAAGTGTGAATTTATTGTTCAACACAATTATTTATATATAATTCATTATTTAACATGTCAAATAATACCGTATGTATGTATAAATAATTGTGTTTAATAATAAATTTACACTTGGCGCCTCATAACAACACAAGGGAAGTCAACAAATGATTGTTTTGTAAGTTAGGCTTTCAATACTAATCAAACATTAATCAACTACTATTCCCTTAGATGATTTTGAAGCAGACTGTTTCAAACACAGACCAAGTGAAGTACAGAGAAGTTTTAACAAGCTTTAAAATGGTTTTTATTTTAAATTATTTTAAAGTCGTTTTTTACACAATGTTTTTCATATACTCTCGACATATAATTGTTTTTATATTTTTTGTATGGTGTTATATTGTCTGTTTTGTTTGTGAACGCACCGTCATCGTGTGTTACTGTAGTAAAATTGAAGATTCAAATAAAGATTATTATTAGAACCGTTGGAGTACATTGAAATTTTAATGTATTGTTTCTTTAAAATATACTGTCAATAATAATGCTTTAATGCATCAAAATTATTATTATGATCTCTTTAAGAATAAACGCAACAAGTAACTATTTTAATATATAAAACGCAATAGGTTACACATTTGACCATGGAGAAAACAAAAATGCAAAACATATAGGCCTAAACAATAATATTTTACAGTAATAAAACAAGTCATCAAAATTCTCATGTAGGCCTACTAATGAAAAAGATGAAAAATACTAATAAGCTGGAACAACAGTCAGTCATGAATGCGAAAATTAATGATAAAGAACAGATTTGGGCCTGTGTTATAGCTAAATACGGTACTGTACTGTATGATTTATATTATCAATAGTTGTTCAAAACCAATAAACGAATTTCGACTTTTTAAA